CAAGCGTTGAACTCACGTCGTGGCCCATCAATGCTCGTGTCCTAATTGACTGGGCTGCCACGATCACCAGACTCAGCCCATACCTCTCTGTCACCTCGTCCAGGCTTGCATTCTTCACTTCGTCTTTGATGTCTTTCCTTGTATTATATGTGGCACAAGATCCCCTTATACCTGTCTTGGGATCTTGGATAGGACAGTGAGGATAAATATCTGGCGGGACGCTTGACTGAAGTCAGACATGTGAAAGGAATACAAACAAGAATTTAAGTAAACAGAAGTCAAGTTTGAAAGAATGGAATTGAAGTATCGAGAAGTCAAATTATTCGTAATTGCAAAACCTAATCTTCTTACCCATACAGCACAGATGGTTGCAGTTACATTGCAGAAACGTTGCGATCTTGCAGATTGCAGTGCAATCTTGCAGAGACATTGCAAGGGTATAAAATTGCAAACTTTCGATAGCAATATTGCAGCAATGTTTCGAAAATAATGAAAATACTATATTTTCTATTTAAAAAATGTTTCTAATTACGAGAATTTTATAATGTTATTTTCGTCGATACCAATAATGCGCGAATTATTAAGTACTTGATCAGTGCGGTGTTGCTCGCAATCTCCATCCATTGCGAAGCAACATAATCTCCTTAGGTTGCTTCGCAATAGCTTGCTGTGTATTGAAAAAGGTCCGGATGCATATGTAATTAGTAAATTCTCTGCTTATGTACAACAACGGCAAATTATTCCAAAAATATTGCGCTGCAACATTGCTATAATGTTGCACTGCAATCTCTCTGAGGGCGGACATTTCAACGTTGCTGCAATATTGCAATCTTACAATGTAACAATTTCTGCAATCTTCCTGCAATCTTTCCGTGCTGTGTGGGTAATAACGTGACAAACAGTTAAATTGTTTGCAAAGCTCTATGCAAAGAATTTCAGAGAAAGTCGTGCATGCATCAATAATATATTAATATTCTCACCGGTTCTTGTATAGTGCCGAGATCGTCATTTACGTACTCGTAACGATCGAATATCACAAGCGGTTCTCTGGGCGTCTCCAATTGGTAAAACTGAAGGTCCTTTACTTTCCTGCATATTAACCATACCTGTTCCATGAACGGCTTGGGGAATGGTAGCGGATTATTGAGTCTGTTTGATAGTCGCAGCCACAAAGCTAAAGGTGAGAAGTAAAAATATGTAAAAATTCAAAGCATTCATAACAGAGGAAATCATTAAATTGACTTGAAATTCAATTATTATTCAACTATTAAAAATAGAGAACTAAACCGGCGCGATGTGTACCTGAAAGTAAACATCAATTAAAAACTCTCTAAAATAAAATAAAAAGTAGATAAACTGTTATGGCAGTCTATGTAATATTTTACATATTAGATTGTACAAAATTGGTGTCGATTAATTTATTTGTGACAAAAGTAAGATTAAATAACCTTGTAAAGTAATGCCGTCTAATCCCTCCAAGGCAACCTCGTCGATGATCGACTCCACTAAATTACACGACGGAGAAGCCATGCTTCGGTAAGAACAGCGATAAACCTCAAAGTAATAAATACAATAGCCGCTTCCACGGTCTTATACACAGGTCGGGACACTCGTGGAATAAAGCGTGCTCGAAATGACGCCAATATGGCGGTCAGCTCAGGCCTAAAGCAGTGATGGGAGATCGGAAGGATTTCCCGCGCACGCGCATTGAGCAATCTTCTGCGCAGCCTCACTGACGTACATATTAAGTGGTATCATAAGGTTCCCAACATGAAAATGAATCTGAAAGCGAATTTAGGGAGGAAAAGTTTTGATGAAAGTATCATGGTTCACAGATGTATTATTATTAGAAATAGTCAACGAAGCGGATGGGTTGATATTACGACTTTTATTTATATTATCAATATGTATTATCATAAACACTATCACAAAATAAACACGGGAAAACTATCGGAATGGATACTTTGTGCATGCGCGGGACCCCTGTGACCCCTTAACGTGGCACCTATATCCACCATTGGATTCGAGCCGCTACGTCACCTCACGCATGCGCACGAAGTCTCCTGTAGCAGACGATTCCTTGCAATCTTCCATCACTGGCCTAAAGGTGCAATTTCACGTGACTTTTCGACGTAGTGGGGGAAAAGTCACGTGAAATTGCACCTTTAAGGCCAATGTCCACGATGCTAGAACTTATGTTAACACATATATTCATTTTGCACCAGACATGTGGGAACCAGGTAATAAACACAAATTTAAGAAATATGCAATTCCAACAATATTTGGGTTTTTTCTAAAAAAGCAAGTACCATCGAAAGACATCAAAACTGATGGCAGTATTAATGTTGATAAAATAACCAATAGAAATGACACCATGGAGCCTACAATGGATAACGTTGAAAAGAATAAAACAAACACACATTATATTTTATTCTTTTACTACGTTTTTTTTATTTGTGTTTATTACATACAACGTTTAAGAGTCGATAGTAAGGTTATTGCGATTCAAATATGAGCGGGAATGGCCACAAATCTCTGGACCAATAAAATACGGGCGTTCTTATGGCCAGATTCTAGTTGCGCCCGATGTCCCGTTATCTCCTACATTCCTCTATCGAAGATGCGATTCTAACCTAAATTATTGTGCGCGCTACGTGGATACGCGGTCGTGCGCGGTCGGTGTAGCTTGTTTTGGAATTGTAAACCTCTACGTTTCTTCGACGAAACGACTGCCTGGATTATATCTTCTCTGCTTTCGTCGCGAAGAGTATCAACACAAAAGTATCACAGAGAGAGAGAGTTTGTGGTGAGATCGCGAACTGTCGCGAACTCTCGACAATGACGAACAGCTGGCCAGGCACGAGTGTGCCAGCAAGTTCGAAGGTAAATCCTTACGATTACAACTTTACGAATACTTTCGCGGTCGACAATGTCAATGTTCGATTCCGAGCAAAGTGCCAAGTATGTAATAGGCACTGAGCGACATGTTTTTGCACGCCCTACAAAGTGTCAGCTAAAGCCCGCTGCAGACGATGCTATTTTTCCTGCTGGATTGCTTGCGATTTAGTAAATTACTATCATTGCACCACTCAGCATTCAGGATTCCTAGTAATTTACTAAATTGCAAGCAATCCAGCAGGAAAAATAGCATCGTCTGCAGCGGGCTTAACTGATTGAACAGGTTTTAAAAGTACTTGAAAAACATATACTTGATGACTGTTCCACTCGCTTTCCTTCGTTGTTTGATAACCTGACGTCCTTGATATGTGTATGTTTTATTTAACAATTTTACTCAGCACGACTCGTTACATTTTAAAATACCGACTAAATCTAAGAATTACGTTGGTCCATCAACATTATTTATTTATTATATTAACATAATTATTCCTGTATTTAATTTATGTACACTCGTAGTATATTGTAATCTATATGCGCTGATGAAAGCACTGTGTGCCGAAACGTGTACGCAATCCTAGAGTACAAATGTAATCGCAGACTCTTTATTAAAATAATTGCAATACCTTAATTATTAAACAAAGCTTGTTGAACTTGGCCTTAATTACACGTTATATATGTTTTATTTAATTTTCCACAGGATCTGGAACACAACGAGTTTCTGAAACGTATACGAAAGTCATTGTATTATTCCAAGTTGCCAGTGATTAATTGCTTGAGTTTACCGGTTACAGGTCAGTATTGGGTTGTAAACTGAATAATTAGCAGAGAATTTAAAGGACTCAGAGCCGTGACAGGGTGGCAGTGTCTAAATATATTTTTGATTCACGGCTCTGAGTCCTTTAAATTCTTTGAAATTTGTGTTTAACACATACCCACACAGCACAGGAAGATTGCAGAAATGTTACATTGCAAGATTGCAATATTGCAGCAACATTGCGCAACATTGCTAGAGGATTGCAGCAACGTTGAAATGTGCGCCCTCAGAGAGATTGCAGTGCAACATTATAGCAATGTTGCAGTGCAATATTTTGGGAATAATTTGTTGTTTTACATAAGCAGAGAATTTACTAATCACATGCATCCGGGCTTTTTTCAATACACAGCAAGCTATTGCGAAGCAACCTAAGGAGATTATGTCGCTTCGCAATAGATGGAGATTGCGAGCAACACCGCACTGGTCAAGTGCTTAATAATTCGCGCATTATTGGTATCAACGAAAATAACATTATAAAATTCTCGTAATTAGAAAAATGTTTTAAATAGAAAATATATTTTTATTATTTTTGAAATATTGCTGCAATATTGCTATCGAGAGTTTGCAATTTTATATCCCTGCAATGTCTCTGCAAGATTGCAACGTTTCTGCAATGTAACTGCAACCATCTGTGCTGTATGGATATGAGCCATACTAATTTATTTATTATTTACTGAACAATTAGAGTCTGATAATACATCAAACAATTTCGTTTGCTGTTGTTGAATTGTTGTTCTTTATGTTAATAAGGCATGACGTACAAGTCTTCATTTATAAAATCAAAATGTAATACTTCAATGTGACACTTGACAGGAAATTCTATATTATTATATTTATCTATAATATCCGCACATCTGAGAGAAGAATTTTTTGATGCTATATGAATGTACACAAGTCTCTCTTTAGTAAAGAAAAAGTTTCAAAAACTAAGGACTCTGAAATGTCAATTTTGGATATTCACCTTAATTTTTTTAACCGGATCCAAATCGTTAATTCGAGAGCTTTTTGATATACAAGAAGCCAGAGTTTACTTTCACTCAGCTGTATTTGTAATATCTGATAATGTTTACAATTATATTTTAAATAGCATCCTGTTCAAAGTGTCACAATTTTACTTTCTTAAGCGTGATAGAGTAAGACGTGTTTAGAGTAAGACAACGGATAAACTCTTTATATTTTCTATATGTACAACTAATTTTGTTGAATATTTATTTTGTAATATATGCAAGAATGAGCTTAATTCAATGAAATAATCAAACGATCCATGAAGAATTTTGTGTCATATTTTCAGAATTGGCAGCCGAACTTTTCACAGAAGTGAAAAGTGGTCACACGTTGGAGAAACTCGATGTCGAGGAGGCAAGCAGGATATCGAGGAATGCGTGTGTTTCTCCTTGCTCGCTTGTGCTGGCCTTGCTATATATTGAGAGGCTAAAGAACTGCAATCCGGAATATCTTCATCAAGTAGCGCCGTCTGAGCTATTCTTGGTTTCTCTGGTAATCGATCGTGCTTGGTGTATCAACAATCGTGGCACTTTTAACGTCATTTAAGTGAATCCTTTTTTTTATTAATGATTATTAGATGGTAGCCAGTAAATTTCTGCACGACGATGGCGAGGAAGACGAGGTTTTCAATAAGGAGTGGGCAAATTCGGGACAAGTGACTATATCTCGAATGAATAAACTGGAAAAGGATTTTCTCGCTGCAATCGTAAGCAGTGCTTTTTGCACATTATTTTTTTTAACGATCAAACTTGTCTCAGTTCGTCATTTAATTATTAATCGACCACTTGCTATTTTTCAAGAGATATCGCATGATTTCTTTATGCCACAGGACTGGACGGTGTTGGTACAGCGTCAAGATTTTTGGGAGAGGTTGCAGCAATTGGAAAAAAACGTGGCATATCGAGAAATGCACAAGCGAAGTTGGTGCACATATACAGAATTGAGCTGTCTGATGAATTCCGTTCAGTTGATTAGAATCGCGCAGACCCTGATAAGCGTCTCTTCGATCTGCCTGGCGACTTATGCTGCTGGTCTGGCGACTCTCCTGGGATCCACTCTGGTTGCCCACTTCATTGTGCAAAGTTGCTTGCCCGCGGCATCGCTTGGTTCCAGGCAACCGGCGAATCTATCGATGAATCTCGCGACGAATCTTGCATCAACCGACCTAACTGATTCGTTGATAAATACGCGATCCCAGGAGATTGACGACGACGGTCTTCCGATTTCCGATTCCGAGAATGTTGTGGATTACTCCGCGGCCGCGGAAGTCGACAACGGCGATGAAGACACAGCCAATTGGAAATGGTGGCTGAACTCGACGATGACTTGGCTGCCGGAGTATTGCAGCTTCGAGGGCGACGTCGAGGTTGCAAATTCCAGCAGATTATGCGTTACCAATGTCGACGCTTCGTTCAATTCGACACAGTCTATGGACATGAGGAAGATTGAGACAATAGGGAAAACGGAGGATTCCACCCCGGAGGAATATCGCCGTAACGTGAATTGGAAAGCGATACTGGACACGACTTTAAACTGGCTGGAACAAGACTGGAGACGATCGCATCACGAGACTGTTTTTCAGTCGCCAGAATTGAAAATTTATTAGCTCGCTGATAAAAAAAACTTGCCTGTTAGACAGTCTTTTTTCAGAGAATATATATATACTATATATATACATATAAAATGTATATATACAGGTTAGGTCATTTTAATCTACGCACTGAAATCTCTCAAAATCCATAAGTTTAAGACAAAATTGTTTCGGACAACAGTTGGTTTTGAGGGGGCCATAATAGGGTACCATTGGTTTGACCTTGAAGAGTTATTTGAAGGTCACATGAAGGTCACGTTTAATTTTTTTAATGGAACACCCTATATATTTTTGCATATTCCTGTAGCTTACCTCGAGAGCTTTCCAAAACACTAATAAAATGTTTTTTCGTAAAGTACTTTTTGAGTTACAAAGCTTGAAAGTAACGGTACCACCGGCATTATTACCCAAGGTATACTACGTGGAGGTTGCGCGGATCGGAACTGCACCCACAACAGCCGACATTATTCTGTGCATAAGACTATTAAGAAAAGATAATGAAAAATAGAATATTTTATGAGATATTTTATAATTTATGTCAAAATATTGGAACCATCAAGCTTTACAACTCAAAAAGTTCTTGATAAAAAAATATTTTATTACAGTGTTTTGGAAAGCTCTCGAGGTAAGCTACAAGAATATGCAAAAATATATAGGGTGTTCCATTGAAAAAATTAAACGTGACCTTCATGTAACCTTCAAATAATTCTTCAAGGTCAAACCAATGGTACCCTATTATGGCCCCCTCGAAACCATACAACTTTTGTCTGAAACAATTTTGTCTTAAACTTATGGATTTTGAGAGATTTCAGTGCGTAGATTAAAATGGCCTACCATGTATATATAATTTATATGTGTATATACATACACATATATATATACACAGGGTATTCGACAAGAATGGGACCCTCCTATTATCTCCAGAAGTACACAGTTTTACGGAAAATGACCCAAATAAAAGTTATATGGGTCATGAAGTGATATCTTTTGGTGACCTTGAGGGTCATTTGAAGGTCAACTTTGATTTTTTAAATAAAACAAGTGACCCCCAGGGTTTACTTTGACCATATGACCTAATATGACAACGTATCTGAACGTAAGAATTTCCTGCCCTTTTTAAATCTGGGGTCAAAAAGGGTTTCCATTTAAAAATCAAAGACGACCTTCAAATAACCCTCAAGATCAATTTCAAGGTCACCAAAAGATAGTAAAAGATAAAGCGCTTCACGACCCTTGTATCTTTTATTCGGGTCATTTTCTGTGAAAGTGTGTACAGTGGTCAGAAAGGTTGTCTGACGTTTTATGATAAATTTCGGAAATTTAATCTATCATACGAGAGATTATAGTTTTTGCTTACGGATATGTGCAGTGATGTATTATTAGAGCAAAGAAATGATATGTACAAATATCTGTGCAATGATACATACGAATATTAAAAAAATTTATTGTGAAACGTCGGGACACCTTTCTGACCATGACCGTACTTCTGGAGATCGGGCCTCCCTCCATTCTTTTCAAATACCCTGTATATATATATGTGTGTATAAATAAACAAACCTATATTTTTTGTACTAACTTTTTGCAATGTAACATTCGATACTAACAGATTTGATTTTCTCAATAAATATCCAATGTCGCATGCTACAAACGTTGTTTTATCTGAAGATGATTGCATGAAGCACCAAACGGTAGAATAACGAACGGCCTCTTTGGAAGACTGATAGTAAAACAAGTTTTTATTGTAATTAATCTCTGAGATCACACATACAAGCTTTGTTTTTAATTGCTTTCACTTAAAATTAATAGGTTTTAATAGCGCCGGAGTTTAAAGCCTCGTAAAATAGTACTAAACGACTATTTCAGCCGTTAGAAAGATAATTGTTACATAAATTTTGTTCTATACACAATTCTACATAGAAAAAAGAATTGTTAGACGACATTAGGCTGGCAGATGGTTTATTAGTTAGATTCCGACGTTTCGACCATACGGATTGTGGTCCTTGTCAAGGAATTTGATAATAGATATAACGTCATCAATTTTAAATTAAAAGTGGAATAATATGATAGAATACGGCTCTGACGAATAACAATCAATGAATAAAAGGGCCAAGAGCCTTGACTAGGTGTTAGTGTCACAATAATAAAATTCTCATATATTCAAAACATAAAAATACAAACGTTTCGGCCTTTCTCTAGGCCATCTTCAGTGTATAAAATATAATTTAAATATTAAGTCAAAAGATAAAAATCGCTCGCCACGCAAATCATAACAGCTGTAAAATATGAGCCGTTTTTTTTTCGAATTTATTAGCTGCTGTAGATTGAAAGATCGTCGTCGAGATATAAGTTGTTGTGTTGTAGAGGTGGCAAAAGTCGACTAGTGACAGTTGTATTTTTATGTTTTGAATATATGAGAATTTTATTATTGTGACACCTAGTCAAGGCTCTTAGCCCTTTTATTCATTGATTGTTAAAAGTGGAAGTTTAACATCCATTTCTGGGCGTTAATCGGAGAACAATGTTCGAAGGCACGTCCATTCGACGTGACAGTAGGACAGTCTTATGGACGTGCCTTCGAACATTGTTTTTCGATTGACGCCCAGAAATGGATGTCAAACTTCCACTTTGAATTTAAAATTGATGACGTAATATCTATTATCAAATTCCTTGACAAGGACCACAACCCGTATGGTCAAAACATCGGAAACTAACTAATAAACCATCTGCCAGCCTAATGTCTAACAATTCTTTTTCCCGTTAATTAACTACTGGCGATTTACACTCTTCCGTTGCAATTCTATATACTACATATTCTATACATTTATATATATTAAATATTATATAATACTTGAAACAAAAATATGTTAGTTGCTGCCATAGTTGAATGTTTTACAAAAATTTATAGGCATTTGTGAAACAAAACGGTTACCGTAGGACATTCGTGACTTGTCCCACACGTTAATTAAATTAGATAATTCGTTTTCCAGTCGTTTTTATTAGGAGAATTCAACTGCCATTGCGGAAAAGCGCGGCTAACGGTATAGGCGTCATGCCAATGATACATCCAATTGTAACACCGATGACCCGGCCCTGTGTTGAAGGAAAAGAAAAAAAGATCTAATTTCGCTGAAGAAAACTTTATCAGTTCTACATTATTCTAGAATCTTTTCTGCAGAATACTCCATAGTAAAATAAATAATAGCAAAATAAAATATAATAAAGCAACATTTCGTACCAAATTTGCGGCTATTCGTGTCCTAGGTAGATTCAGTTGTCCCAGAGTCAACTTGGGCGCCTCGAAGCCGATTCTCTGGGCGAATATCTCGACATAGTGCACCGAGCCAATTCCAATGACATCGGACACGGTGTTACCCAGCGCTGCCGCTGCCATGGTGGAGATCGGGAACCTTTGGTTCAAAATCAGCTCGATTTGATCGCCCTGAAACATCGTTTTTAAAAGTCGGGCACGCAGTGGACAATGAAAGCCTGCAAGATACGTACAGCAATGATCATGATGAAGTTGTCAAGAAAACCAAACCCAACGAACGGAATTGCATTCGCGATCGCGACTGCAAAAATACAATGATCGTCCCAGATTAATCGCTTGCACTTTTTACCGGGAAATCAGAATCTAAATTATTATACGTAAAACTTGTACATGTATTTCGTCTGCTTGGAAGTTTGTTAAAATCTGTACAGTAAGTTTTTCAGTCATAAAACGCAATTATTATTTGATTTATATTTAGCGAGCAACAAATAGGAGACGCACAAGACAGAAGCGCGACCGATTACTTGCTCGCGAGCATCGTGGACAGTTCTTCGAGACAGAAAGCGATACGTACCTAACACCAGGTCTTTTGTGGTTGGTTCTGCAACGGGTTCAACTGCAACAACAAACGATTCAATCTAAGTCCACAAGTCAATCTTGTTTAACCGCTACACAAGCTAATGAAACTAGCGAACACTTAATGCAATATAAGATCTTTTTTTCATTGTTCACAAACACCAAAGCTGTATATCTAATGTGGTGTATTTTTTAATGAATTTTGATTAAAAAAGGAATCGTAAGGAAATTCAAACGAGGGAAAAAATTCACCATAGAGGGGAAAAAATAAAAAGGCTCTACAATTAAAGAATACGTTTAATAAACTCTTACGAAAAGAATCTTTCTGTTAGAACAACTCTGTGTAATTTAGGATGAAAAATAATTGGGCCGAATGATTACTTCGAGAGAATAAAATTCGCAGGGAATGCTGCGAAACAAACTGTGGGGAGAAAAAAAACTGTAAATAAAAAATGTTAATTTAAAAACTTACTCGAATAAAGAGGTCGACAAAAAGTAATATTTTTTTGAGGTGGGAAAGATTTTTCAAAAACGAGAGAACCGTAGAAAAGTGTCCAAAGTATTACCTAACTGTGGCACTGTGGTTGGCCGTGAAACATCCAAAAAGTTGTGTCAGAATAGAAGCAGGCAAGAGAGTTGGTGTGATTAGAGAGAAAAGAGACTGAGAGAGTGAGAGAAACAGAGAGATCGAGAGAGAACGAGAAACTTACAGAATAACATCCATGGAGATCGCATTGCAGGGAAAAGATTCCATTATATCCAAAGATACCATTAAATAACAGTCGAGGGGGGGTTAATTTTATTTGCGAGATCTATAGGTAATAAATCTAAGTTAATGTTCGTAGTGCCTCGTGGGCGTAACGGACTGTTACGTTGGCATTTAAAGAATATTTCAATGGACCTGCGCTTCGTCCTTTTAACAGTAAATCGATGATCCAACGAATGCACGAGACGTACGATTCAGATGATAAAACCAGCAATGTTCTTACCATACTTGCGGTTCAACCAATCGTCCGGCATAGGGCAGAAGGTTCCCGTAGGATCCACCTCACCCAGCGACGGTATTTTGCTAGGTCTACCGAGCTTGCTCCTCCACCGGATAGCCGCCAGTTGGCCTGAAAAGGCACAACAATGTTATTATACGTTTATTTACGATTTATGTATAAAAACTATGTGAAAAGATTCGTCTATTTTATGCAGTTATCATTTACATAGGTATGTACAAAGCTGCATACCCATACAGCACCGAAAGATTGCAGAAACATTGCATACACCTTTCACTGCAACGTTGTAACATTGCATGGAGCTTGCGAAATGTTTCAGCAACGTTGTTGCAAGCTTGAAGCAACATTGCAATGTAACATTGTAGTAATGGCACGGTGCAATGTATTTGTAATATTGATTTCATTATACGTTATTTATATAAATATGCAGGATACTTGTGATTTTAATAGGTCGTTCGGAAAGTTCGTTTTAAATTTCCTATACCTATATGTACAATATTTATAATAGATAGGAAATTTGAAACAAACTTTCCGAACAACCTAATAAATAAAATTTGCGAATATAAAGACACCCAGGAGATATGTATGAAAAAATTGCAACATTTTTTCTTATCGCCCTTGGATGTCTATTATATTGTATAGTCTCAAACTTTATCTATTCAAATCTGAAGTAGCCTACCGATACCATGCAGTAATATCGGAAATCACGAGACTATTAGGCGTTGCTATACATGCTATTAGGCTGCGTTTGGAATACATGAGAAATAATATAAATTTGAAAAATCTAAATAATATTATAATACGTTAGAAATATATTTTGCAAACTTTATAATATTTCTACAAGGTTACTGAAACGTTGCTGGCGAAATATTACAATTGAATGTCTCTGAACCGTCTGTGCAATATTACATTGTAATTTGCAATGTTGCAATGTTTCTGAAAGCTTTGGTGCTGTATGGGTATACAAAAAAATAGCTATTTCTTTCCCCCTCATACATCTTCAGTGAACAATATTCTCTTAACACCGAGCGGTCATTTCTGACCGTTTCTGTTTAGAAAAAATAAAATAGGAAAATCGGTCCTATTTTTTAATATCTTATTTCTTGTTTAAAAGATAAGATTCTGAAATTGTTTGACTTTTTGCCAATCAAACGATTGATCAAATGATTGACAAAAAGTCATAAAATTTCATCGACCATGCGATCAATCAAATAACTGATGAAAAGTCATAAAATTGCTGATTGATGAGAGGTCACAAAATTTCAGAATCCTATCTTTGATACCAGACGTAGGGTGTTAATCTGAAAAGTAGGAACGCTTTTCCGCCGCCTGTCTGGACTGGAAATTAGAACGAGGTTCTCGTTAAACGCTCGTTGAATAATAGAAATTGATCAGACCGAGGTGTGCACCTACCTTCATAGCCGGCCTTCTCTTCCTTCGACTTGTACTCGTTCAGCGCCGTTAGGAACAGGCCGCGCTCCTCCGAGGTGAGTTTCGACACCAGCTCCTTCGCCTGCTGCTTCGTCAGAGCGTCGGCGACGGCGTCGGGGGAGATCGGGGTCCTCGCGGTGGAGAAGGTCCGCGAGGTCCCGCGGGACCAGCCCAGCAGGATCCGCGAGACCTCGGTGACGCGCGACAACGCGGGGCATCGTCCTGACAGCCCACCGCTCATCGACGTCTCGTCGCAGCTGGAGCAACGCGGTCGCTTGGCCGCGCCGAGCCGCGCGACCACGTCCCTCGGGATGAGTACTCGTCGACCGAGCGCCGTCATCGACACGCACATCTCGCGACCAGGTGACAGGGAAACGTCGAACGAGTGGTGACTCGGCCGTCGACTCGCGTCGAGTGGATCTTACGAGCCGCGACGTGTCCGTTCTCTCTTTCTCGAGAGGACAACCTCTCGAGAAGTGTCCGGCGCGATCCGGTAAGCGCAGGAATGCATTCAAGGACCGAATGATGTCAGATACTGACAGCAGACCTCGGCCCGCGCCGACCCATGCGCAGTGGACGCGTGGGCGTCGAACAGACTGACGTCTCGGACGCCTCACGTGTGCGTCAGCGGCCGCGAAACCGGTCACGTGATCGCTCGGCCAAAGCCGTACCTATCCACACAGCACAGAAGGATTGCAGGAAGATTGCAGAAATGTTACAATGCAAGATTGCAATAGTGCGGCAACGTTGCGCAACATTGCTGCAACGTTTCTGGAGGATTGCAGCAACGTTGAAATGTCCGCCCTCAGAGAGATTGCGGTGCGACATTATAGCAATGTTGCGGTGCAATAATATTTTTGGAATAGTTTCTTGTTGTTGTACATAAGCGGAGAATTTACTAATTACATATCAGGGTTGGGAAAGTTACTTAATAAAAGTAACTAGTTACAGTTACAGTTTTTTCGCTAACAATGTAACTAGTTACCAGTGTTGTGCATAGATGATTTTAAAATTAGCTAGATAAAGATAAGATAAAAATATATAAATTTATCTTAGATAAGATAAAGATGATTTCGTTTTGAATATATCTAGATAAAAGATAAAATTATATGATAATTCATCTAGATAATTTTCAGATAATATTTTTAAGACTTCATGTAAACGCAGTAGAAAAGTTATGAAAAAATTATAGAAAAATTTAAATTATAAAGGGGGATATAGAATATATTCAGGTTAAGTTATATGATACACATAAATGCATGGTCTACAATGCCATCCATATTTAAATACTAAATAGTGTAACTGTTAAGTATTTTTATGTGGCCCTAAACCAAATTATCTGTACGTTATCTTAGATAATTTAGTAAAGATAACACTTTCTTTCATCTAAGATGCAGATATAGATAATACTTATTTTTATTATCTATATATAGAGATAAGATAACGCTAAAATTTTATCTAGATAATCATCTATATAATTTTATTTAGATAACAGCGAACACTGCTAGTTACAGTTAAAAGTTACCAATTCTGAAAAGTAACGCGTTACAGTTACAGCAATCTTCCAGAAATGCGCAACGTTGCTGCAACATTGCAATCTTGCAATGTAACATTTCTGCAATCTTTCTGCAATCTTTCTGTGCTGTGTGGGTTTACTCTAATCTAGCCTAGCCCTCTCGTCGAGACTTTCGCGCCTTTCGCGATAATCATACCATAGTATACGTCACTGCTTTACAGCTGCTCTCGCTGCGCATGCGCCAAAAACCCGGCTCATCTCGCCCCTCTACCCTCTACCGCCACTGCTTCTCGGAGATCTCGGTAGTCGGTACATACGTAGGCTGTTATCGGCAGGTGAATTGTGAAAAGAAAATACATTGTGGGACGTAAGTCTACGTTCTCTGTCAAGACGGGCCCGAAGAACTTCGTTAGTTGTTGATATTTCATGCAAAGTATGGTGTACCTGAACTTTCCGTCGAACTTAACCGAGGAAGAGTTGATGCTGCAGGCTAAGTTCAGCAAGCTCAAGCGAAAGGTAGTACAGGTTATGTTTATTGCGTTTAGGCGCGCATGACGAAATTTAATTTATATCTATTGGACGTTTATTTCTCGATTGATTCACAACGTGAGTTTTAAATCTCCATTCCATCTACATCGTTTTCTCGCGCGATATGTTGTTATGTCCACGCTTCTCTTTAAGCCCGTTTTCACTAACGTCGCTTAATTTAGTCTTGGCTCAATTCCTTTTTAAGAGGACAGTTAGTTAAAAGGTATTTTCCAGCAAGAGGCCAGTACTGAAAATCTATATAGTCTACGTCACCTATACTGTATAGTTTCAGTACTGGCAGTTAATATCGGAACGCAGCCATAGATTGATACAGCGTAACAGAGAATCATTTCGTCCCTGTTTAACAATGGCAAACAACAAAGATAAAACGATTCGCTTTGTTACCCAGCGTTGCCTGTGTACGTTGCTGGGAGTCGATGTTGCGATATCATGAAAATGCTAAAAGTGAGTGGCTTTGTCTCTTTTTAACGGGACAGTTAGAAAGAGACAAAGTTATGCACTTCTAGCGTTTCCACTATAGTGCAAGATACAGAATTGACCTCCCTGGCAAGTACCCAAGAAGTGGTAAAGTATAAATTAAACTCAGATCAAAGTTAAATGACGTTGGTGAAAACCGGAGTTAGGTGTACAGTGGAAGGCTACCCGGTCTACAATGAGTTGTTAGTCAGAACTGTATGTCGGTTCTTTTCCTTCCACCCAGAAAGGAAAAGGACCAACATATAGTTCTGACTTCTGACTGAACAACTCACTGTAGACCAGGCCACGCACTTACTTCATCTTCATCTTTACTTGTCATTAATGGTCTCTTGTTTTGTAGAAAAAAGCTCTGCAGGACCTAAAGTCCCCTAAACAAGAAACGGAGCGCATTCCGCAGGCGCCGAAACGGCCTACGGAGGCGAGAGACGCCCGCGAGGTGGCCAAGAAATTGATCAAGTCTGGCGTGATCACAGCACCGAAGATGCCCAAGCGACCGGAGCAGACCTTCAAGAGATCCCGTGGACTAGAGAGGAAATTGAACAGTACGGAAAAGACTATCAGCTCCTACCAACCGTTCTCGGCGACTCAGGAGGAAGAAGAGACGGAGGCGGCGAGGCCGAGAGTGAAGGATTTGTATAATAGCTTCGTTGGTGCGCAAGATACCGGGGAGAGAAACGCCAGTGACACTCAGTCTACCACTAAGCAGGAGGCTAAGCCACGCGCGGGGAATACGATATTCGTATGCGGCTATAAAATAACGGAGGATTACTTAAAGAAGCATTTCCAGAGTTTCGGAAATATCCTCAATATTTCCATGGAAGTGGACAAAAAGTAAATATAAATCGCATACAAATTTATCCACACTCGTATTCGTTCAAAGTTTTAATCGAGGGATAGACCGCTGAGGGCATTGTGGTGTACAGATTTGCGGCATTACAATTGATAAAAAAATATCTTAATTAAAAAAACTATTACTTTACTCAAGAAAATGATTCGTTAGGTGGCTCCTAATAGCTCATTAACTTAAATTTAAAAAATTAATTGAAACATGCATTTCTTTAATTTAAGTATTTATTAAATATCAAAGAGAAGATAATTTTAAATTGAAAACATTTTATTTTAATTCTATAAAATGTTTATCAAGATGTAATTTTCACACCAAAGAAAACTAGATTTCTTATTTAACGAAAATAATTATTTCATTTAATCAACAGTATTTTATATCTCACGAAATCTTTATTTGAATGTAGAAAATGTAATGATTTGAATTAATTTATATATTATAGATTATAATAATCTGCTGACGATAATAATTCCACGTATAAGATAAACTGCGTTATGTCCGAAAGAGAAATCGGCGCGTAGAACTAATGTGGTAAGAAACGGCATATAGATTCACGATTTTCAGAAAGATTTAAGATTTACAAGTTGAGCCACCTACATCTTGCCTTGTGACCCACATTGGCGGTTCTCATATATTGTTTAGTTTTAGATAGGGGTCTTACTTGAAAAGTTTATTATGAATTAATTTACTTAAGGATGTATTGGACGTACAATCTTAGACAAAAGTGCATGAAATTGGAAATACTTAAATATCTACTCTTAACGCATAGTAAAGCTAGATGTAAGAAACCTGAACGATAGTTGGAGTCTTATTTGTACTCCTACAAAGGTATTTTTCACTTTACAAATGTTTTTTCCTGAATTATTTGCGATTTTTTTCACTTATGAGCCCAAACTTTTGATAGTGAAAATACTCTGATTTCAATTCTTAATAACGTCAAATATTTTCAAAACTAAAAAATTCGTGCCGACAGTACGAATATCTCAAGTTATATTTTATTTCTTTAAAACGGTGCAGTAAAGACTATTGAAACTTGGTAGATATTTTCATCTATTTGTACACTAGATGTATGAAAAAAATTCAAAACACTGGTACTATTTCTTCTACATTTTTTTAGCTGTTTTATCCGTGAAGATCGGTTTTTCCCATAAGAGTACGTGTAAAATCAGTGTAAATTAAAATAGTTATATCTCAGCAACCGTTTAGTGGACGCATTTTTACTTTTCTGCAATAAATTAGGAAGACTTAAAGAACAATTTCACAAATTTTTAGCGACTTTGTACTATTTTGAAGATAGGTCCGATACATCCTTAATATAATACATAGATTTACTTGAAATGTGATACTTTTATTTAAATAGAATAAATATTTACTTAGTTAAAAAGTTTTTTAAATAAGCATTACTGGGCATTACTAGGTGTTTTCTTGGGTATTAGACCTTTCTGGGGCATTGTAAAGATAAAATAAGAGAAACAAGATAATAAGATGAAGTAATGCCTGGGCACTAGTAGGCATTGGTGTACATACGTGATTTTGGTCAGCGGTTTACTCCTCGGCTTTAATAAATATCTACGACGCGACAATAATTCTGTTCTCTCTTTATAGCCACGGCTTCATAACCTTTGAGAAAGCTGAAGCAGCTGAGAGAGCCATAAGCGAAATGGACGGTAGTATGGTCTCGTCCATCCAGCTCAAGGTATCGTTAGCGAGGAGGCAGCCGATAATAGAGCCGGTCAGCGATACCATGTCTAGCTCCATGTGGTCGCCGATAGCAGCCAACTATTCGCAGAAAAGCGGGTATAAGGACAGGCGGGAGCTCAAGGTGTACGACGAGGATTTCTTCTAGTGAATGCAGGTACTTTCGTTGGCCACACTCTCCATAATGTCAAATTGTAATAAAATATTCATGCATACGCATCGTATTGTATTACGTCATATCTATTCATTTGGAACGTCTCTGTGTTAATTTATTTTCAATATCGTGCTCTTCCGCCTCTTATCTGTTAATAAATTATCAATTATATCTGTCAGTAAACTTAAATATTAAACATTTATGAATTTTCGAGCTAATAACTGATTTATTTATTATTGTTATAATAACAAAATTCATAATAGTATAGAAATATTCGTCTACACGTAAGAAAAAATATCATGTAGTTGAACCTTGTTCATCCGCTAAATCTTAGTTTTTTTTGTTCCGTTACTGGTCGAGTTTGTTAGTGGGATTATGAAAATGCCCTTTTTGCTACTTTATGAAGTGGTAATTGATATGATATCCGTGTCAGATTAGACTTATAGACTATCTTTCTTTTTTAATTAGTTGGAAGACATCGTAACATCCGTTTCACTTGTCAATTTTGCAGCCGTTTTTAATTGCTGCTTTTTCAAGAGTTATAAAGTTACAGTAAGAAAAAAACGAATAAAATTAATTATTAACGATCGAAAATATCTACTAAAACCGAGACTAAAACTTTCGGTGCACATTACTTTCTACGCAAAAGGAACTGTATTTAGGACAAGTTAAGAATAGAGATTGTCCCCTCGGCAACAAATTAGGGAAAGCTAAGGTTTGATTACATAATATTTTTTCTTAAATGTATATAAGTTATTGACTGATGTATGTAAATATAGCACATAAAATTACACTAAGAATTGTATATATATAAATAGCGTTCTTTAAATATTAAGGTTTATAATTGTATATTTGGCATATATATTAGAGTAATGTAATTACAATTTGTTTCTTACAAACCTGGCACTTCGTTTTATTCTCATGTGTGTGTACAAGAGCTATAATTCCATTCAAATTCCTTACTTTCGTCGCGTTCCTAGCCCGTATTTTTTTCGAGACAAAACTTGTACAAAAAATTTCTACAATTAGAAATATGAAATTTCACGTTCTATGAGCCAATGAACTATTTGCCACTTTGTATACGCGATGTGGGCAAATCGGATTGAAGTGCTATTGAGGGGGATTAAAGTAATCCCAGTGATGATGATGTGTCACGATTCGTGTGCTACCGAAATAATATATCAACAAGCCTGCGATCAGGAGTAACAAGGCGCATATCGCTAATTCCACTTCTCTGACCTTTTCTCTCGTGTCGTCCATGCTTAACGTAGACGTCAGATACCCTATAAAATACCTCATGGCTCTTACGCCGACTAATCGAAGTGCCCGAAGGAGCTGCTGCGTAGTGTCTATAACGCCGGGTTCTGTGTCGGAGCGTTGACTCGTTGGCGTTTCACTCAAAGAAAAGAACTGTGTTGGAATTTCGGAAGCTGGAAAGGCGATGAAGTGAGTCGGGCTCAGGGGAAAGGGGGATACCGGCGATTGGGAGGACTCCCTTTGCTTCTCTGCAGGGGATTGTCCCGCGTCGGAAGAGTGGGAGATAACAGCGCGCTGTGGTTGACTGTCTTTAGGGACACTCTGTCTCGTGTCTGAAGAATAGGAAATGACGGCACGCAGCGGTTTAGCGTCCGTAAAGGTACCATCGTGCATTGGTACGGTCGAATCGGGAGTATCGGGGGTTACGGAGATGGCTGGTGGCAATGAACGGACCGGAGATGCGGTCTGCCGCACGATACCTGTGCTAGGCGAGGGAGATCTAGATCTTGACATGCGGGGGGTCTGTTCTTTACTATCGGACACGTCGTCCTTGCTGCCACGAAGACCCGTAGATGTTGCACCCAACTCGGTAGTAGCAGTAGCAGTAGCAGTAGCAGTAGCAGTAGTAGAAGTAGAAGAAGAAGTAGAAGTAGTAGTAATAGTAGTAGTCTGGACAGAGATACTTGGGGGTTCGTCAACGCGTTCCGGCGACTCTCTCGATTCGGAGGGTTGGGTTGAAGGTGCATCCGACGGAGGATACGAGGCACGAGATTCATCCACGTGGGGGCCGGACGTGGTTTGCGAACTCAAAGTTAGGGGATGTTCGGAATCTAAAATTCGTAAGGATTTATCTTGAGCGACTGTGAGTAAATGTGCGATGGATTCGTCTTTATCCTGGGGCTCTAATTCATCTACCGTACGTGTTTGGGAAGGGGATTCTTTGGCTTGAGCAATTGAGAGGGAGTGTGATAATTCTTTGTCCTTGACATCTATTACGTTTGTTTTAACAACCTTTTGGTCCTCGCCGGCCTCGGTCTTCTCATCTTCCGTGGACGCTGATTCACTCGCGACAGTCTCGCTGGGCTTCGCCACTTCCGGCGAGACGTCCTGCGACGCGGGTTGCCGCTCCTGAACTCGACTGTCATCCGTCATGGGAATGTCGATTGTCTTCCGGCTCGCGGATTCCTTCTCGCTTTCACGATGCCTCTCTTGCGCCTGGGTGGTCACCACGGTCTCCAAGTGGCTCCTGATCGCCATCAGCTCTCTGATAATGGCCGGCGACAAACTCTCCTCCATGGAATCGCCGCCTCTCAATTCCGACGCCGTGATCAGCATCGCGTCCACCTCGGACGCCACGATCTTGTGCGCTTCTATCTGTGACACACTCAGTCGATCGACCTTCAAGTCTCCGACCTCGAGACTGCTGATTCTCAGCGGCTCGTCGGATAGTAGACCCGACTTGACTTGAGGCCGCGGTTGCGCCTCCTCCGTGACGCGTTCCTCCAGATGCGGTGCCGACCTGTGCTTGTTCTTCAAGTCGAGCTCTCTTGTGGGCGACGGTGACGTTAGCGACACCGTGTCGTATGCTATTCGGATGTCTTCTTCTCCTGACAGCTGCTCGTCCTCTCTTTCTTCCTCTTCTTCCTCCTCTTCCTCTTCCCCTTTTCGCAGAAACAGTGGCATTGGTAGCGGAGGTACGGGAGGCGTGGTTGTTCCGCTTGGACTGGGTATACGCTCCATCGATACCATTATCTGCGAGCCCGATCTGGAAGGCGTCATTATGAGCTTCGCCTGAGTGATCTCCTCCTCGATCACCATGTCATCCGGCAATGGATCGGTCTGCGTCGCTGCCGTCACCTCCGTTGTCTCCGCATATTCGAACGGGGTGCGAGGTCGCTCGACCACCGCGTGCTCCTTCCTCGCTCTGGGTGGTCGCGGCGGCGCCGGAAGTGGACGGCCTTGAATCTTGTTGAGCAGCTCGCCACTACGAAGGTCCCGATGGTCCATGTCGTCCGCGCCCGCGACCTCGATGTACGGCGTGGATTCAGTCGGTGTTAAGGTCATGATGCTGATCGTCTCCGTCGCCATGGCATCTCTCGTTCTAGTAGGTCCCAGAGTGCTGTACGCTCGTTGAGGTCGCCTGGGCGGCGTCGGTCTTGGCGTTGTGGCGAACTTGTCGCGTTTTCTTCTGGGCGGCGGCGGTCTAGGCGGCTTCTCTCGCTTTTCTACGATCGCGTAACCAAAGAGATCTCGCGCCGAGCCGTTTTCGTCCTCCCGCGGGATGTCTTCCTCGATGTAGCCGGCCTCCGGCAGGGACTCCGCGCCATGCGACGTCCTGTCCTCGTCGGCGGCGACCGACGTCGTTCTCGAGCGGGATCGTCTTTTCGGCGGTACCGGCACCGGTTCTGGCGCAGTGTCTTGCCGCCGGAGCCGCGCGTCCAGAATCTCGATGTCCTCGTGACTCGCGGACACGACGACGTCGCCATTGGCGACGAATTGCTCGTTCAGCGACTGCCGTGATCGCGACGATCTCGCCGGAATCATCGGCTTCCCGGACTTGACGATTTCGATCTCCCATTCGTCGCGATGACCGTTGCAAATCTGTGCGCCCACGTTACCGTTTCTTCGGTCCGCCATCGTTTCCCGGTGCGAGCGCTTTCTGCGTATCGGTACGACCGGTGGCCTGGTTGAAAGAGTAGTGGGCGAATCGGGTACAGTGATAACGGGTGCTGAAGGGGTGGGCATCGCTGTCTCCATCGGCGGCTGCGACTGACTGCGCAAGGACGACCTTGATTTTCTGCGCACCGGTTTCACCACCACTATGTCATCCAATGGCTCCTGCAATGGCATCCGTTCATCTCCCTCCGCCTGATACACCACGCGGTGTCTGGAGTCGCTTCTAGAGTCACTCCTGGTGCGTTCACGGAACACCTCGTCCACGATCGATGCCTCTCGACTATGTCGCACCTGCGCTGCCGCCGCCGCCGCCGCCGCCGATCGTTCCCGTTTTGGTCTGACCGGTGGTACCGCTTCATTGGACTCCCCTAAATCTTCCTTGTGCTTTCTCAATGTCCGCGTTCTCATAGGACGCTGAGGCGGAGTGGGTGGGGGCTCGTCGTCCTGCAACGCGTTGATAACTTCCGCCCTGAGAGCATCTCGGATCTCGTCGGTCAAGTAATTGCCTAGAATCATGTCATCCTGGCTGATACCGCTCGCCCGCAGGAAGAACTCGTCCGAGTCGATCTCCTCTATCACTCCGCGACGCCTTCGATCGCAGGAACTGCCGCTGGACGCTTGTTGCTCCCGATCGGATTGTATTGAAGAAGGCTCACCCTCCTCTTCGCCCTCCTCCTCGTCGGATGCCACTTTACCCGCTCCAAATCGCCTCGGATCCACCGCCATGAACGCTCCGCCGTATCTTTCTTGCTCCAGAACTCGTGGCATATCTTCGTCCAACGATCGCGACCTCGGAATCGGTCTGAATTGTTCCTTATGCATCATCTGCTGATCATGCCAGTCATCTTGCATTACCGCATCTTCGATGTCATCTCTATGAACGTGTTTTATTTCTTTACTGCTGTATAATTTCGGGTCTATTTCTATCACTTGCTCGCGTTCGTACGACTCCTCCCGTCTTCGCGACTTGTGGGATCTTTTCGGAGGAGCGGGATGTCGATCTGACATCTCTGACGATTCCTGCTCGTAGTCCATGTACTGTATTTCCTCTTCGTCGTACTGTTCTCGTTTTTTCGTGTCCCCCCACGGAATCGCGCGAGCCGCCGCCAGTATCTCCTCTTCCGTTCTAGCGGACAGTCTCGGCGGCTCCTCCACTGAACTTTGATGCCACGGAGGTGAGCCGTCGCTTCCCGTTGCTCTATCCGGACGATCCTGATCCTGAACGTAGGTCGAGTCCCCAAAACGTTGCGCCCATCTGGCGCTAAAGGTCTTTGCTTTCCGGGCGCGAGGAAAAGTCGCGCTTTCCGCCGACTGGTTCCTGGAGTCCTTGGGCGAGGACGTCGCGTACTCGCCGCGCTTCTTGGACTTCTTGTCGAAGATGCGCGGATACGTGACGAAGTCGAAGATATTGCGTTTGGAGCCGGCAGTGGACTCCGTCGATTGCTGCTGCTGCTGCTCGCGCATGGAAGGGGGTCGCTTACCGCGAGTGAGCGCACTGGGCAGACGGATGTTGGGCTTCTTGATAGCAAACTTGGACCTGTCTGGTAAATGGAAGCGCGACTTATCCGGGAAATTGAACTTTGGTCTCTCCGGCAGGTGAAATTTGGACCTGTCGGGCAGACTGAATCGCGGCCGATCAAGCGGTAGACTGAACTTTCCCGTCTTCTCGGAGATGGATGTTTTTATGCGGTCGATTCTGCTGGGCCGCTTCTCCGCGGACTTGCGGGACTTGTCCGATTTGCCACTGCTGGCCGCCGCCGATCTCACCGTCGTCGTTGTCGTCGTCGTTGTCGTCGTCGTTGCTTTTTCGGGTTTCTGCCGTTTCTGTGGGAACGAGAACGCGGGCCGCTGAATACCACGGAGCCGAGTGCGCAGCTTACCAGCCTGCGTCTTCAGGCGTTGAGGTAGGCCGCGAGCGCCACGCTGAAGTGGCAGCTCTTCCATCGCCAACGAGTCTACCTGAAATGATAAATTCTTCCCTGAGAAATAATGCAGGATGGGAAATCTTATCTATAAAACATTGAAACTTCCGACAATATTGCTTGGGGGGGGGGGGGGGTGTATCTTCAGGGAGGTAGGCACTAAGACGCGCCACTTATTAATTTTTCGGCGAGAAAAATGACGAACTAGGACTAGACCAGGATTCGAACCTGGAATCTTCCGCTTGTGGGGCGAATGCTTTTCCAACTGAGGCTATCCAGGCTCATGCTCGAAATTTTTCTCGCTTACCTACTTTATTTTGCTGAATAAAGCATAGTATAATATAACTAGTAGGTCCATTCTGTCATTTGTCTTTCGATTCCTTCTGCGTATCCGACATTCTGTTGATTCAGCCCATGAGAGAAAAGTTGTATAATCAATGTGGGCAGTGTATTGATGAGTACCATATACGTATGTACATACACACACATATGCTGTTGGATTTGGACCAAAGACATGGCGGAATACCACGCGACTGCAAAGGTCAAAGGGGTCGACAGAGAGTGGACCTACTAGTTATACTATGAATAAAGTAGGTACACGAAGACCCTTCTAGTAAGTAAATAAATTCCCACCGTTACCCTGCCTGAACGACAAGTTGTCCTCGGAGTGAGGGTGAATGCGAAACGAGCACGATCTCTAAAAGAAATTGTCCTGTATGTACAAATTATATGTATATTCTTGGAAACTATTAGAAGTATATAGCCAATTTTTAAAAGTATTTACTTAAAATTTAATCAAGGTTTAATGATTAAATTAATTACAAATCTATTTTTCTCCCAACTTACGTAAAATTAGATGCACCACGGTATGTGACAAACGAAATCATAAGAAGAGATCTACATATGCCAACCGTAAAGGAGGAAATAAAATACTTTTGTAAAATATATATCAACAGACTAGATAATCATCTTAATTAACTGGCAAGTAGGTTACTTCAAGGAAGTCATGACAAAAGAAGACTAAAGAGATTCAAACCACTGGATAACCAAAGAAGATTCAAATAAATTAAGTTGACTAAGGGCCAGTTTCACAAACGTCGGTTAACTGTTAACCAGAGTTTAGTCGACCCCCTATCTTTTTCCATCTTATTATTTAATTGTAAGAAGAGACGGAGAATCAATTAACCTTCGGTTAGCAGTTAACCGATGTTTGTGAAACTGGCCTTAAGAGGCCCAGGAATTATAACCAAGCTTATATAAACTAAAGTTAACACGAGAATGTAAACTAAAAGGTGTTTTCTATTGGGAAAACACCAGCACACTTATAGTATAATAAAAAATTGACTTATTGTCAAAATTTGTGACAGATTGTAAATAACTCTGGGAGTTAATAAAGAAAAATAAAAAACTTACGTAAAATAAGCTTAAATGTTTTTAACAACAAATAAACGGACTCTATTGGTAACAATCGTCTAAGTAAAAATTAGAGTCAAATGAGAAATTAAGTACGCAATAAAATATATATTTTACAATAAAATAAAGACAGGAAAGAATAAAATTACGATAATGCGAACATTTCGTAAATGTTTTTCTAGTGGGCTAACATCACTTTCATAATTCAGCTGAATGCGCTAGAATGTTTATTCTTCGTACTTCTTAAAATGTACTCTTGTGTAGAATATCTCTAGAATTTTAAATTGGTACACTATGTACAATATAATAAAAGGAAGGTAAAATTATTAGCTATCATTTAACGTGATCAGCATAAATTCTTTTAATTAATCGCATTACGGTAACGTTATCCACAAAGTTCAATACGATTCCAACTTTCTTTTATAATTCAATATGTTACACTCACTTGCGCCGCGGTTTATGTACGATCGTTCTACAGGGTGTTATGTAATACCCGCATCAACGCTTATTGTGGGATAGAGTGGACTAGACTAAGTCGAAAAGTCCTCTACCATTTTGCAATTTTCGCAAAAGTCAGCGAGTTATTAATTATTAAAAATCGCTGTCTTAGGCTGACCCACTGCCCAATTGAAACGTGCGGTGAGATCGATCGATCGTTACTAGGCGCGCAGAGAGTTGTAACGATCGATCGATCTCGCCGCACGTTTGAATTGGGCAGTGGGTCGGCCTAAGACAGCGATTTTTAATAATTAATAA